CCTGCCTCAGCGCCGCGCACATTCGTTATTAAAAAGGTGCACGAGTTTCACGGATTGAAGGCGGCCGTTTTTCAGAATCTAGTTCCTGCCTCAGCGCCGCGCGCATTCTTTGTCAACAGTGTGCACGAGTTTCACGGATTGAAGGCGGCTCGGCTTCGAAATCTAACTCTCGCCTCAGCGCCGCGCGCATTCGCTTTCCAGCATCCAAGCTTCCAAGATGACCAAGGATCCGCTTTCCAAGCACGGTATAACCTGGGAAGAAAGAGGCGCGCAGGAGTTCCCGCCGCGCTGCTGGAGAAAGGGGAGGAGGAGGAGGAGGAGGAGGAGGAGGATGAGGAGGAGGAGGAGGGAGAGGAGGAGGAGAGGAGGAGGAGGGAGGGAGGAGGGAGGAGGAGGAGGAGGAGGGGAGGAGGAGGAGGAGGAGGAGGCGGGAGGAGGAGGAGGGGAGGAGGGACGAGGAGGAGAGAAGGAGGAGGAGGCGGAGCAGGAGGAGTACCGAGGTGCGGGAGAAGGGGGGGTGAGGAGGTAGGAGGGGAGGAAGGGAGGAGAAGGAGGAGGAGGAGGACGAAGAGGAGGAGGAGGAGGAGGAGGAAGAGGAGGAGGAGGACGAAGAGGAGGAGGAGGAGAAGGAGGAGGAGGAGGAGGAGCAGGAGGAGTAAGCGGACGAGAGAGAGAGAGAGAGAACGGGCGGCAGGCCCCGCCTGGAGCCTCCTCGCGGCCCCTGCCCCAGAAGAACTCCGCGCCCTTCGCCCAATCGGGGTGCTCCGGCGCCACGGCGCCGCGCGTGAGCAGGTCCCAGGCGCCGGAGCCGGGCCTCCCGTGAGGCTCCTCCTCCACCTCCTCCTCCAGCCTGGCACAACCCGGGGCTCCGCCTCCTCCTCTGCCCTGTTCTCTGCCCTACTACCTTCTGCTCCTCCTCCTCCTCCTCCTCCTCCTCCTCATCACTGCTCTTCTCTCCTCCTGCTCCTCCTCCTCCCCTCCTTCTCCTCCTGCTCCTCCTCCTCCTCTTCTCCTCCTCCTCCTCCTCCTCCTCCTCCTCCTACTGCTCCTCTTCTCCTTCTCCCTCCTCCTCCTCCTCCTTCTCCTTCCTGTTCCTCCTCCTTCCTCCTTCCTTCCTTCCTCCTCCTCCACCTCCTCCACCTCCTCCCTCCTCCTCGTCGCCCGCTTTTCTCTCTTCTTCTCCTGCTCCTCCTCCTCCTCCTCCTCTTCCTCCTCCTCCCCTCCTCCCCTCCTCCTCCGCCTCCTCCTCCTCCTCACCATCCCTCACCTTATAAACAAAAAAAAACAACAAAAAAAAAAACAGAAACAAAAACAAAAAAAACAAAAAAAGCAGAAAAAGGATAAAGAAGAAAAAAAAAAAAAAAAAAATACAAAGACAAACAACAAAAAAAAAAGAAAAAAATAAAAAATATAAACAATAAAAAAGAAAAAAAAAACAAAAAAACAGAAAAAAAAAAAAAAAAAAAAGAAAAAAATAAAATAAAAAAAACAAGTCCTTCCTGTCGCATTCTGGGAGTCGGTAGGGCGGGCTGGGCGCTCCGCCTGAGACTTCCTCGCCCTTTCTGATCCTGCAGCTTGGAATCTGCAACAGTTTCACTGATGGAAAGCGAATCGTTTTCAAAATGTGGGCTCTCGCCTAAGCGTCGCTCCCATTCGTATTTCAAAGTTCGCGAGAGCTTCACGGATGGAGGGCGGCTCGTGTGTCAAAATGTGGTTTTCGCCCTGGCGCCTCGCACGTTCGTGCGACAAGTGTGTGAGAGCTGAGAGCTTCGCGGATGGGGGGCGCGGCTCGTTTTCAAAGTGTGGTTCTGGCCTAGACGCCGCGCGCACTTCTCTTAACAGTCCACCGAAGTCTCCAACATTATTATGGTTGACGCCCCAGCTATGGTGTTTTGACCTGACTTCGAATTGTGAGGGCGCGGCAGTCACATGGTTTCGCGGTGCTGACGTCCCAGAAACAGAAATTGCGTTCTGGTGCGATGTGGGATCGTCTAGTAGCAACAGTAGTATTGATTCACGGCGTTGAAGTGCCAGGGATGGTGCTTTGGCACGGTCAAAGATTTCCAGACGGTCGTGTTACAACGGGGCTCTTCCTGTCTTCCAACGGGCTCTTCCCGCAGTGTCGCCATCTCCTTAACGGGAGTCTATAAGAGAACTTGAGGAGGGTTATGCACACATCGATGATCCTTGGGTCTAAACTGGTCCCTCCTCCTCCTCCTCCTCCTCCTCCTCCTCCTCCTCCTCCTCCTCCTCCTCCTCCTCCTCCTATTCCTCTTCCTCCTCCTCCTCCTCCTCCTCCTTTTCCTCCTTCCTCCCCCCCAGTCCTGTTCAGGATAAGCTCTGCGAGGCAGGCTTCAGGATTCAGGTGCTTCTACGAACCAGGAAAGCGTGCCAGCAGGATTTCCTTTATGAGGGCGCGCCGCTGGTTGGCCCAGAGGGGGTCTTCTCCTCGGTCCGCGGTCCGTGACCCCTACACCCCCACTTTTCGCGATCTTTCGTCCCGGCGGACCACCCCCCTTCCAGAGGGGAAGGAGCGGGGGTGCAACTCCACCCCCTCCGTCCCTTTTTGCCCCTCTGGGGCAGGGGGGTTGAACCCCTTCCTTCCCCCCGTTGCTACAAAAGGAGGGCGGGTAACCCTCCCCCGCCCCCCGTTGGGTTCGCGTTCTCGCGTTTTCGGGCTTCCAAAGCTGGAAGGCTGGCCCCAAAGCCCTCAAGACCGCCCCGAAACGGCCCGGGAGGCCCCCAAGAGGGCCCCAAGACGGTCCAAGAGGGCCCCAAAACGGCCCCAGAGGCGCCCAAGATCGCTCAAGAGGGCCCCAAGTCGGCCCCAAGACGACCCAAGAGGGAAAACACAAACCACCAATGCGAGCCTTTCGCCAAGAGACCCCCAAGAGAACCCAGGAGGCCCCTGGGAGGCCCCACGAGGCCCCCAAGATGCCCCAAGAGGCCCCCAAATGGCCCCCAAAAGGCCCCCCAATGGCCACGAACGCGCAGGCAAACGCCTGCGGCGATGGCACAATACGGGCTGGCGGACTGAGCGAAGCGATCGAGTGTGTATGCTGCCTGGGGTGATTTTTCGACATGCGCGCTGAATGGCGCCTCGACCAGTCTGCATTGAGTCGGGCGGAGGTGCGAGGAGCTCCCGCTCCAGTCGCGCAAGCACGAAAGCCTGGAGCAGCGGGCGGGCGACGACCGGCGGCGACGCCGCGCTGCGTCGGCGCGGAGAAAGGACCAGAGGCCAGCCAGAGGCAAGCCGCCGTCCCTCCAAACTCACGGATACTGCGCAGCGATCGTGCTCGATACCAGCGTCACCCGAGGCCGCGTCGGGTGCCGGCCTCTAAAGTATCTGGACAAAGGACCTGGTGTCCTGGGCGGGCCGTCCTTGCTGGTAGGAGGGCCAGAACAGCGAGCCGCGAGGCGCGCGAGACGCTGGCCAGAAATGCGGCACTTACATGCCTGGCAGAAACAAAGCAAATAGTCCTCGCAGTTGTCCACTACCCGGGTTACCCAGCACCGATGGCCGAGAGACAGGAGCTTGGCGACACTAATACGCGAGTGGCGCGAGCAAACACGAGCGCGTTTCTTTATTTTCGGCGATGATGGGCGTTATAAGGTGGAGGGGGAGGGGCCAGGGGGGGTATCATGGAACGCCTCCCTCCCGCCGTGCGCACGGCGGCAGAGCCCGGAGCGCACTGGGGGGGGGAGGGGCGTTACACTGTAGGGGGGATGGAGGGAGGGCCGGGGGCTATAGTGCCCATTGTGCCCCAAGCCATGAAGAAACACGCTCCAGGAAGCGGCTCCGCCGCAGATCGCCTCCCACGGAGACAGCGAATGCATCGCCAAGGAGGGGCCCAACCCGCGCTGTGCGCGACCGCCGTCGCACTACGTCGAGCAAGCGCAAGGAAACGAGCCCCTCTTGGAGCCCCGTTCCTGAGACCAGCCGCCCTCATCGACAAGACGAACCCGCGCGTCCGGAATCTGAAGGAACACCAGGGGGGCTCGCCGCCAAAAAGACAGCGAACGCATGCAAACCAACGGAACGACCGAGCCCCTTTTGAACAGTAAGCGTTCCATATTCAAGCCGGATCCTGTAGTGGGATGCTGACCAGCTCCTCTCTTCGCCACCACGTCCGCGGCAAAGTGTTCCGAGCGCGGGAAGGCTTCGCGCGGCGGCAACTCTGCTTCAGATTTTGGCCCCGGACGACTGCGGACGCCGCCGTGGCGCTCTGGGGCGAGGATGACCTCATGGTGCGATAGGAGGAGGAGGAGGAGGAGGAGGAGGAGGAGGAGGAGGAGGAGGAGGAGGAGGAGGAGGAGGAGGAGGAGGAGGAGGAGGAAAGGGAGGAGGAGGAAAGGGAGGAGGAGGAAAGGGAGGAGGAGGAGGAGGAGGAGAGGAGGAGGAGGAGGAGGAGGAGGAGGAGTCAGCTCTCCCCTCCAGTGACCAGGGCCCGGCCGAGCCCCACTGGTTTCTCGTCGGACCAGCTCGGCCGTGCCCTCCTGCGGGCTGCCGCTGCTGCCGCGGCCGCTGCGGCGGGTGCCGCTGCTGGCCCAGCTGCGGGTGCTTTCCAGGAGTTCCAGGGTGTGCGTGCGGCTCCGGTGACTAGGCCCCGTGCGGAACAACAGAAGATACAGTCGGGGCGTTGACCCAAGGAACCCTGAATAAGGAACGAGGCCCCTCTTCTCCATAATTAAGTTGAACTTCGATTTCGTATCGAAAACCTAGGGAAAATCTAAGGCAAGCTGCGAAACAATTAAGGAACACGGAGCCCCTCCCCAACGAAAAGGGTTCCTTCTTCAGGGCACCGACTGTCTTGGGAGCCCGGGGGGTCTCGATAAGTCTGGAGCGCAGCAGTATCACTACTTCCTGCTCCTCTGGTGCTCGCCCCGCATCTCCCAGCCAGACACCGCACATGCTGCGACTCCTCATCGTCGACATCGTTTTCTCGGTGCATGTCCACATCACGCTCTCTCCCCGTCTGCTCCTCCCGAATCCCGAGCTCCCCATGTTGTAGTCGCCGCAGAGGAGCACTGCTGGCGCCTGCGAGCATGATTAGTCTCACCGTCAGAAGATGAAAGGATAGCACAACCAGTCAACTGATGGAGTGAGAGCACTGGCACAACTGTCAGAAGATGAGCAGAAATCCAGGTAAAACTCAAGAAGACGCAGAACTGGACTCGTGCGTTCAGCACGGTCCACATGCTGGAGTCCAGAAGCTGGGACACATTCCTGAAAAGTGATGGACACAAGCTGTGCCAAATCCAGAAGGGAAGTTCCCTGATGATCGGCCCCACATGTAGGGATGTGGACGGCGGGGAAGGAGGGAGCGAGGAATACTACTGTGATGAGATGCTGACGAGGATGAGACAGAGAGTACCATGCTGCAAAGAGCTTGGCACAAGCAATGGTGCATTCTCCCCCTCCTTCCCCCCCAGGAGGAGGAGGAGGAGGAGGAGGAGGAGGAGGAGGAGGAGCAGGAGGAGGAGCCATGGCTCGTCCTTCCTCCCCCCCTCGCTCCCTTCCGCTTGCCGCTCTGGCACTCTGGGCGCCCGTCGTGGCTGGGCCCCCGCCTGCTCCCGTGATCCACTTTGCCGTCTCGGGGCACCTAGGGGGTCGGGGCCCCCGCCGGCAGCTCCCCGACCCACGACGACAGCTGTCGGGGGCGGGGTGCAGCCGTACCTGCACACGGTTGGCACTCTGACATTGCAGAGGCGTCACTTGCCACCTGCCCGAATGATCCTCCCCCCCCCGCCTCCCCCATCCCCCCTCCTCCCTCAACCTCCCCCTCCCATCATCCCACACCCTCCCTCTCCCCTGGCTGATCTCCCTCCCTGCCCAACCTGACCCCCTTCCCCCTCCCCTCCCCGCCTTCCCGCCTCCCTCCTCCCTCCTCCCCCGTTCCCTCCCCCTTCCACCCCCCACGGCCCATCGCAACCCATCCCTCACACCGCCCCTATCCGCCTTGGGACGGCTGTTTTCTCATGCCATCTCCCTTTGCATTCCCATGTTCTGCACGTGCGATAAGGGCAGGCTGTGGCAGCGGGTGTTTGCGCTGCTGGGCGCGATGTGGGAGGCCACGTTCGAGCCGCCCGACCACCGTTAGCTACACTGCTTGGAACAGCACGTTCGACAAGGGCGGGCAGTGGCAGCGGGCAGTGGCAGCGGGCAAATTTATTGTGGACACTGGACCCTGACACCATCAGCTGCAGTGCTGGCATCGGCGCTAGCGAGAAGGACGGGCAGTCTGCGTGCGCCCAGCAGCTGCTAGATAAGAAAGGGGGAAATGCAGCCCATGCAACCGCCATCAATCACAACGCTTGGTTCAGCGCGTGCGAGAAAGGCAATGCGAAGCAGCATGTTTATCAGTAACAATGCATGGATCAGCACGCGTGAGAAGAGAGGGCCATGGCAGCAGACAGGCTTTTTTGTGGGAGCATGGAGCCGCCCATCGGCATGCTCTTATTTATAATGCCAATACGGATTATCACTGTGCTTGTCCAGTGGCATCGATGTTCAGATGGCACGTCTCGCATAGTGTCGTGGCGTCAATAGTAATTCAACAGTTCATTCTTGGCTGGAGCTTGCGGGTTGGCGTCTTCCACGGCACCTGCAAGCTACAGCTTCTCAACGCCCACCCACATGGAGGGACCCACCTGAGGCAAGCCAGCGTGTGCGCGGCGAAACCCTCAGAATTCTGAGGGCAGTGTCTTGCTCAGCGAAGGGGTGAATATGGTTGGCGGGGCTGCTGTTCAACATCGGAAGGAGCGAACATCGGTCGTGCTCGCGGGTCGGTGCCGCGGTCGCGAAGGACACGGCCGTCTTGCCCATGGGCAACCCGTATGGAGGCAAACGCCGTCGTCAATCTCAGGCACTACATGTACCGGGTCCTGACGGGCTTCCGCCCGCCGGCGCGGGTCGGGTGTGGGGGGAAACGAGAAAGGTACCGATACCGCTGCTCCCCGTACCTCTCCTGGGGCGCGTTCTGACCAGGATTTCGAGGCGAAGCCAGCGGTGGCGACAAGGGCCTCCCAGGAGAGGGAGGAAGAGGAGGAGGAGGAGGAGGAGGAGGAGGAGGAGGAGGAGGAGGAGGAGGAGGAGGAGGAGGAGGAGGAGGGGGAGAAGGAGAGAGGAGGAGAGGAGGAGGGAGGAAGAGGAGGAGGAGGAGGAGGAGGAGGAGAAGGAGGAAGACCCAAAGGGGGGAAACCGAGGAAAAAGGGCCGCGATAGGGGTCCTTTGCCTCCCGAGGACGAGGGAGTGCGGCTCGGCGCCGGATGCGTCCTGCGTCCGCCCTGGGGCGCCAAGACCAGGCGGAGGAGGAGGAGGAGGAGGAGGAGGAGGAGGAGGGAGGAGGAGGAGGAGGAGGAGGAGGAGGAGGAGGAGGAGGAGGAGGAGGAGGAGGAAGACCCAAAAGGGGGAAAACGAGGAAAAAGGGTCGCGATGTGGGTACCTCTTCCTCCCCTGAGGATGAGGGAGTGCGGCTCCGTCGCCGGATGCGTCCTGCGTCCGCCCTGGGGTGCAAGACGTGCGGAGGAGGAGGAGGAGACGGAGGAGAGGAGGAGGCTTAGGAAGAGGAGGAGGAGGATAGGAGGAAGACCCAAAAGGGGGAACCGAGGAAAAAGGGGAGCGATGTGGGTACCTCTTCCTCCCAGGGATGAGGAGTGCTCCTCCGTCGCGGATGCGTCTGCGTCCGCCCGGGGTGCCAAGACAGGCGGAGGAGGAGGAGAACAGGGGAGAGGAGGAGGGAGGGAGGAGGAGGAGGAGGAGGAGGAGGAGGAGGAAGACCCCAAAAGGGGGAAGACGAGGAAAAAGGGCCGCGATATGGGTATACCTTTTCCTCCCCCGAGGAGGAGGGAGTGCGGCTCCGTCGCCGGAGGCGTCCTGCGTCCGCCCTTGGGGTGCCAAGACCAGGCGGACGAGGAGGAGGAGGAGGAGGAGGAGGAGGAGGAGGAGGAGGAGGAGGAGGGCTCCCCGCCCGCGGCGACCAGGACCTCCCCGCACCTCGCGGGGGGGGGGGCCACCGCCGGCAGTCCGCGAGAGGACTGCGCGGATCGATCTCCTTCGCGTGGCGGCCGGCCGTCCTTGGGGGAGAGCCATCGGGGAAACCGGCTCCACAGTGGGGGGGACGTCGCCCTGGCATCGGCGAGGCATCGCGGATAGATCCGAGATAGGTTTCCTGGGCGGGGTGGGCTGTCAGGCCCCAGTCGGCGCTGGATGGGCGAGGTTCTCGGCGGCGAGCGAGGGGGGGAGCGAGGAGGAGAAGGCCTTCTCAGAAGGTTCGGAAGCCACCCGGCCTTCTGACAAGTTTTCTAAGCCTTCCCCGAAGACAAAACGAAACTCTCAGAAGGCGCGAGGGCCTCTGAGAAGTCCCGCCGCCTTCTGAGAAGGCCTCCTCCTTCTCAGCTCCCCCCTCGCTCGCCTCCGACATTGGGGGGTCGCTGCATTCTCCCTCTGAGCCTATCCCCCCGAACGTCGCCCCTCACAGCGGAGGGCACCAGCTATACACCCACGCCGATCCTGGCAAGGCTCATCCTGGGCCCAGGAGGACGAGGAGGAGGAGGAGGACGAGGACGAGGACGAGGAGGAGGAGGATGAGGAGGAGAAGGAACAGGAACAGGAGGAGGAGGAGGAGGAACAGGAACAGGAGGAGGAGGGGAAAGGAAAAGGAGGAGGAGGGAGAGAAGGAGGAGGAGGAGGAGGAGGAGGAGGAGGAGGGGGGGAGGAGGAGGAGGAGTAGGAGGAGGAGGGGGGAGGATGAGGGGGAGGAGGAGGAGGAGGACGAGGAGGAGGAGGAGGAGGAGGAGGAGGAGGAGGGGCGGAGGAGAGGAAGAGGAGGAGGAGGAGGACGAGGAGGAGGAGGAGGAGGAAGAGGAGAGGAGGGCGGAGGAGGAGGAAGAGGAAGGAGGAGGAGAGGAAGAGGAGGAGGAGGAGGAGGAGGAGGAGGACGAGGAGGAGGAGGAGGAGGAGGAGGAGGGAGGAGGGAGGAGGAGGAGGAGGAGGAGATCCGTAGCCATTTTGGCTCAAGGCTCTTTTAGAACCCGATCGGGCTCTAAGGGGGCTGAGAGCCCCGCAGCACGGGCTCGAAGTGCATCTTGCCAGCAGTGGCTTTCCAGTTTCCCGTCGGCCAGACACCGACAGTTCAGCAGCCATGGGTGGCAACTCGTGGTGGGCATACCAGCAGTCCTACCAGCAGCAGCAGCAACGTCGACGTCAGTACTGCGTCTGTTCAAGTTGTGGAGAATGACAATATCTGAACAAGGCGCGGAAGAAGATGTTCCGCCTCTGTGGGCAGCCGTTCGACCTTCCCATGAGCAAGGGCCAGGACAACAACGGCACCTCAGGCCCCAGCGGCAAGGACAAAGAGCAGCAGGAGAAGCCATCCGAGATGAAAGAGATCCTCTCACTCCTCCTCGCAAAGCTCACACCCGAGCAGAAGGACGACCTGGGCACCGAGGCTTGCAAAAAGATGCAGGGCTTGATCCAGTCGCCGAAGAAACCACCAGCTGCTGCAGCCACCAGCCTTCCAGGAGGTACGGCGCCTCGAGAAGAAGCAGGAGAACCTCAAGGAGACCATCACCGACCTGGAGGCCAAGGTCACAGCCGCGCAGGAGGAGTTCGACACCACGGCCGAGGAGCTCGCGAAGGCCCGCTCCAACTTCGAGGCCGCCAGCGTCGAGGCCACCCGTGGCTGGGGCGGAGGCGCCCCCATGGAGGAAGACATCGAAGAAGGACCAGCCGTTCAACTCCCCAAAGTGCCAGTCGAGCTCCTCAAGTTCGTCCAGGGCATGGAGGGAGAGGAAGGCAACAACGCCAAGCAGTTCTTCGAGGACCTCGAGAAAATTCAAGGCCTGCTCCCGAAGGCCAAGGCCAAGAAGGCCAAGCCCAAGGCAGCAGCCCAACAACCCGCAGCACCACCCCGTCGTGCTGATGGTGCCGCAGCTGCAGCTGGTGATGACCCAGCCCGTGGGCGTGATCTGGCGGGAGGCAGCAGGACTCATGAGCAGAAGCCCCGCAGCCGCAGTTGCCCGCGCCCTGCAGCAGGG